CATTTGCAACAGCATGGATGGAAAAGAGGATCTTTTAACTACCTATGCCTACTAATTCAATAACTATACTTACATATGTAGTTTAGTTTTTAAAATATTAACAAATTACTGGGGTGAGACATACCATTTTCATTTTACAGTTAAGAATGCTGGGTTAGCCGAAACCGGTTTGGCTCAGTGGATAGAGCGTCGGCCTGCGGACTGAAGGGTCCCGGGTTCGATTCCGGTCAAGGGCATGTACCTGGGTTGCGGGCACATCCCCAGTGGGAGATGTGCAGGAGGCAGCTGGTCGATGTTTCTCTCTCATCGATGTTTCTAACTCTCTATCTCTCTCCCTTCCTCTCTGTAAAAAATCAATAAAATATATTTAAAAAAAAAAAAAAAAGAATGCTGGGTTAAAATAATGTCCATAAATTGTCTGAAGTTATGCAATTGCTTACAATAAGAGCGAGTATTTTAAAGCTTTTGTTTTGTTCTTTTAAACTTTATTGATTTTAGAGAGAAGAAGGGAGAGGGAGAGAGAGATAGAAACATCAATGATGACAGAATCATCCTTTGGCTGCCTCCTGCATGCCCCCTACTGGGGATCGAGGCTGAAACCCCGGGCATGTGCCCTAACTGGGAATTGAACCTAAATCTCCTGCTTTATGGGTCGACGCTCAACCACTGAGCAACACTGGCTGGGCAAGATAGAGTATTTTAATCTCAGTCTTTTTTATTACAGAGTCTATGTATTTATCGGCAGTTCCCTCCAGCCTCTGCTGTTAGGATAGGACATCAACAGTGGTCAATTTGTGACTATAAAGAGGTCCTGGAATTAATAATAAAACTAATGATAAACTTAAATTTTAAAGCACATTAAAAAAAAATACAGACTTTTACTGTATCAACATAGTAACTTGACTGCCGTTACAGGAGGTCCCAGAAAATCCTCACTGTGGAAACAGCGATAATTAACATAACATGCAACTGAATTACAACATTCTAAATTAAATCACATTTTCTAAAATACGCTTCAGAATACTAGCAAATTGTTGGAAATTTTCACATTATTTAACAGTGCATCTTCTTCCACTAAATTACCAAGAGAAGCATGTTTTGCCCTATCAGACAAAAGGGATTCTATGTTGGTCAATGTCATACTCATTCATTATTAGTCAGCTTACTGATAATTTTATATTGCTAAGTGTAAAGCTGCTATTCTGGCCTCAGAAGCAACTAAGAAGTGACTAAATGTATAACAGATCGATGAAACAGGGGGGCAGGCAGAAAGTCAGAGTAACAAACCTTCCCAACCTCCCCTGACCTGTGTACACGTGCGTGCATACACACACACACACACACACACACACACACACATCTACGGTCCATTGCCAGGTGGCAGGATTTGGCCTGGACTTCCCTTTATCCCACGCGACCTCTGAAACCGGGCTCTTACTGTTTGATGGTGCCCTGATCCTGTGCCTTTAAAACTCCAGCCCACTAAATGGATTAAAATGAATAAGAAGATCATTATAGGTGAAATCTAATGTCTGCAAACAAAGTGTTTGGTCTGCTGCCAGCATCTCAGGACACTTCTCCAGGATGCAGTGTAGCTTAGAACGATATGAGGAAAAAACTGTGTTCTGTGCAGAGATGGAGGCTTCGTGGTAAACGGAGTAGATTCTAATAGAACCAGAAAACACCTCCAGGTTCACGGACACATGTCAGTGGGAACATGAAACATGAGACCACCAGCAGCTCCCAGTATCTCTGCCAAAATTCCAGGGCCAACCCTGCACAGGTGGAGCCACGCTCACGACCCACATAACCCAGGCGGTTCTCCTGGGTGTGCGTCATGTCCGCAGCTTCGGCTCAGACAGGCAGCCATCGCAGGCCACAGTGCAGAGAGCAGAGGCACTGGGAGGGGAGCAGTGTTAGTGCGCACTTCACGTGACCTTACAGCAATAGGGTGTCATCAATGTTTGAAAATACAGGCGTTTAAAATTAGGGTGCTTTTGAGAAAGTGAGAGAAGAACTTGCTTAAAGGAGTACAACGGGTGGGGGGGGGGGGGTTGTTAATTGGCTCCCACTAGTGGAGGTCTTTTTGAGAACAGAGCTGATCCAAAATACAGGAAGTTTCCTAAATGCAGAACTTTTGTCTCTTGTGCTCCTCCTGGATCCCAATCACCTAAAACACAGTGGGTGTGTGGGTG